CACGCTGTGGAAGCAGGATGTGGGATAGAGAACATGTTTATACAGCCGAACTCAGCCTAATCCACGGGAGGCTTTASAGACCATAAAAGCCATCTGCAAGTGGATAGATCACATTCTGGAGGAAAACAGGGGTTTAAAACAACACCACCCTTTTTGATCCACTCTGCAAAGATCATTCCTGTGAGCCTGAGGACAAGGGTAGGATGAGCAGATCCAAAAGTTCTGCCTGCRCAGTGAGGGTGGGCAGGAAGGGCCATTTATGGTACAAGAACYTGGGGCCACCAAACAAAACTACCAGGAGCCAGACGCAGAGCAAACAAAAGAGAGGAAGCTGGTCCCCCTCTTCCCCACAGGGGAGGAATGGTTGTTCCAGATTCACAGGGAGCTGAGCTGAAACCTCCATTCCAGTGAACACCCATTAGCAGGGGCAGCCAGCTGACCTCCAGCTCTCAAAACTCACACCCCTCAAATGGYTGGTGCCTGGGAAGGTGAAATCACACTGCTCCTGCATTCCCAAGGCAATTAATTTGGGACATCCTTGGAAGGATGACATGAGTCTGGGTGGCCCTTGGGCTGATGTCCTGCAGCAGGGCTCCTTCAAACAGATATCACAGGGAAATTGTTCTCAGCAAACCTTTTTACAGGCAGCAGGAGGAATAGCCACTGGCCTTTAACCAGCTGCCCTCTGTCATCTTGAAGAGCCTCAGTTTACCTTCAGACTTGGTCMAATCAGGCATTTGGCCTGCTTTCCCTGCACAAGGGCGAGAAAAACCRTCCAAAAGGTCCTGAAATAACGTGACCTTTCATCATTCAAGCATGTTCTTTCCCATTAAGCAATGAAAGCAGCAGAGATGCTATTCTAAAAAGCACCTCRAAACAATTATCTCCTTCCTCTGGAATAAACGATGGGAAGCAAGAGGTGAGCYGGAGATATGGCATTTGCAATTCTCCATTTTCCATCTGCAGCAGGAAGAAATGTAGATTTTCATTGTGCTCTGACACAACTGCTTGACCTCGGTGCAGCTTATGCTAATTGCTTGCAAGAAAATGCTTGTTTGTTCCRTGCCTGCCTGGCATATTTCTGATATCTGGGCCTGATGGATGAAATATTGCTCCTAGGACAGTGCAGATGGGGATGGCTGAACCAACGGCTGGTTGGCTGAGCAAGCCAAGCAAACAGAAACACTCTAATAAAAGAGGGCCTGAGAAGTTTCCCATTAATATCACCTGGGTATTTTTATACCAACTCACTCCCTTTCTGCTTACCATACTGTAATTCGCTCAGGCTGGCACAGAAAATAGAGAGAGRATCCATCTCTCTACCTAAAGCAAGGACAACTCTGCTCTCCTTGCTCATTTTGAGAGGAAATCTCTCTCCTGGTCTCAGTGGCTTTACAGGGTTAAGGTTTTTCTGTTGCCTTTGGGTGCATTTGTGTAGCTGCACACATCTCCCATCTCTGGGCATGCTCCAAGTGATATATTTTAATTAAACATACTCATCCATGAAGAAGCTTGGTTCCTGCTGCTACTGTTCAACAAATGCATCGGTCTGGCCCCAGGATTTGTCAGTGCCATTGGAACATTTTGTGTTTGCTCTGTGTTCTGAGGAGCAGAGTTGGGAGTGCAATCTGGCTCTCATGAGACGGTCACAGTGCCTGACTGGGACACAGAGCTGGAGGATCCCAAGCATTGATCAGCTTGTCTCCATCCCACTGACACCATCTCCTCCAGATCCACTCTGTGATGTGCCTGAAGGCAGCACCTTGAGATTGGCTTTGTTGCATTGTGCCCAAAACTCAGCTGAGAAAATGGGGAAGAAGMAGGAGGAACAGCTGAGGGGTTGGAGCTTCTGACATTTATTCTGCACCATCAGGAGAAAGGGGAGCATTTTCTGTTCTCAGCCTGCAGAATCCATCCCAGAAAAGCCATCCCTTCACTGCACAGATATTCTGTAAGCATAAAGCTCTTGTTATTCAGTGCACAGGCCTCCTGTTCCAGCACAGCCTTCCTGAGCCTGCTGAAGTTCTACATAAGCACACAAGATGTGCTGAGGAGGAACGGGCTTAGGTTTAAACGTGTATTTAATGTTAAATGAAGGCTTAAGAGCTTTTCTGCCAGGAGCAGGGAARGATGTTTTGTTTCCAGCATGCCTTGTCCTGTGTGGGAAGACATTTCTTGTCTGCTGCTGAGCTCCAAAGAGCCTTTCTGCCATTTCAGGGGACTGATCTGAAGCAACAGACAGCAGGATCAAGGACCTCGTGGCAGGCTTTATTTTAATAGCACAGATCTTTTCTCTCAGAAGTCTGGCACCCGAAATACCAGCTGCAGTCTCCAGCCTTGCTGCAAGGGACTGTTTTGTGCTGGGCACCSGGGATTTCTGACAGAGACAAGCATCAATCCCTGCACCTCAGCAGCTCCTCGTGCTCTGAAGCCTGGCAGGGGGCTGGGGTTGGAATGGCTTTTTAAAGGGTTCAAATAACCTGTTTGCTTCCCCCTGGCCATGTGTCAAAGAGAACCACAGCAGGGCATCTCTGAACCCCCAGATGTTTTATTTCTCCAGGCTCTGTGGAGCTCTGGCTGCAGGGTGGGACCAGGGCAGGCAGAGGGGAAAATCAGGAGGAAATCAAATTACTGTCAATAAACACGGAGAGTTTTTCCTCCCTCAAGGGATTTRCAGGCAGCTCAGAGAAGAAATGGGTGGAAAACTGAAAGATAATCTTGTCCTTCAATCTGAGCACGGGATCAAAGCCCAGCTGAAGGTAGAGTGGTTCTGTCATTAATTTCCATTTGTTTTCCCATCCCTCCCTCCTCGGTGAGATATTCTGCCCATTCTCCTGCTATCTGCCCTAGGGATAACCCAACACCTCCCAGCTGAGCCCAGACTTCTTTGGAGGGGGTGATGCTGTGGCTTTGCAGGACAGACACTGATGTCTCATAGGATTTGTGGGAGGATAAAAATCCCCTCCAAACCCTCTGCAGGGAAGTTGAGATCAGACCACAAGAGTCCACGTGTAGATCTAAATTCCTTTTTCATAGCTTTCCTTACTTGCTCAACCTTTCAGAGGCTGGAGAAAGAAAATACCGTAACTGATGGAGGTTGRCCMCAGGAAATCTATCCAAAWTATGTCCAAWTTKCCCTTGGGAGCTGYACTGCAGCTGCCTGAGGAAGGAGARTGTGTTCAAACAGAACCTTCCAGACCGGGCTGTAACTTCCCTCACATCTCAGAAGGTTCCCAGACCCTCTGAAGAGCCACCACATCCTGCTGAGCTCAGGGAGGCTCTGCCGGTCCTGCAGCTCCCGGAGAAGGTTTTGTGCCGGAGATCTGCGGGATGTGGCCGCCCTCTAAAGGGAAGAGCTGGGAAATCTCGATTAATTAAAGTTTCAGATAATTAGGAAAGCGTGGGCATGGGCGGTGACTACCCCTCTTCACTCGGAATCTTTCTTGTGACTTCAAGATATCCCGGGAAACATTATCCRTGCACGGCAACCATGAATAATCACGGCCAGTGGGCTGCACTCTGAGCTCATGCTGCTCTCCCGAGCTTTTAATTGTGGAGTTCATTCATTACTCGGTACCTGGCAGAGCTCATCCTTTTACAGGCACACACACACCCCGGGCTGAGCAGCTTCCCCCAAAATTCAAGACGGTGACAAATCCTTCAGCGCATCCAAGTGACGTCTTCTCTCCGTCCAGGATCTGAACCTGCACAAGGGTGATTTTGGTTGTTTTCTTTTTTAAAACTTGCCTCCYTTTGGGGACTCAGAAGGCTGATTCTAGTTGAATTAGACGGGTTATATTTTCTTATTTAGGAAGTTAAAAGCAGGCAGGTGGGTCACCAGCTGAATCTTCACGGAGCAAAGGCTGCTTTAACGAAGGCTGTGTTAATTACTGCTGTTCTGGACCATCATCCTCCTTCCCACCAGGCCAAACACTCCTTCCACAGGCATCGGCAGGGCAGGAAGGCTCTTGTGTGTCCTCATGCCAGAGCCCAGACTCTGTGCAGGCTGCCCTACCCAGGCTCTGCCCATCCTCCAGGACACCCTTCGGGTTTTCTGTACCTAGAGGGGCACAGAGGGCTGGGAGACACCCCACAGCCAGCTGCTTGTGTTGGAAGCAGCTTCTTTTGGGCATGTTGGCATCTCTCTACTACCTTCTTGCACTTTTTCTTTTATTTTTTATTGCAGCCTGWTGARTTTTGAAGAGAGATTTTAAGAAACKACATGAGTCATGGRGAGGAAAGGATGGTGCTGTGGGGAACCCAGCAACTTTGCATGAGCACATCCAAGGGATTGTGAATCCCCCAGTTCCCAGACATTTCATGGGTGACACTGAGGTTGTCATCCGTACTCAGACTTTGCTGCTTTCAGATTCTGGTTTGTTGGCTTTCCATTCCCATTCACTGGAGGTTTTTAGCGCAAGGGTGGATAAAGTTTTGGGGCAAGAAAATTGATATCAGCTGTTCTTATTTTTCCTCCCCTTGGTTCTGTCTGTGCTTTGCAAGTGTTCATATAGACTTAATATACAATAGGATAATATATGGTCCTAAATAGGATTATATATGGTTTCATATATAAGTTATAGTTTCATTTATTGCTTCATATATAGGTTAGGTAAAATCCTGTGGATTTCACGTCAGATTTTAACAGTGAAGGACAATCACAGCACATCCTGSAAGATTACATATTCAAAGAGTAGCACATACATTTGCTAACTAATCTCTGACTAATCCCCAATCTCCACCTAATTAGTCCTTTGCTCCATGAGCTAATGCTTGTTCAGCCCTTTGAAGCATTTGGCGTGCTAAGCACAATTACACGTGTCTCTCTAGTGAACAGGGGAGGTGAAGAATTAATAAATAATTAATAAATGGCGTTAATGAGCGGGATAGGGGTAGCAGGAGCGCYGGATATCTCTGCAGGACGGGACTACACTTCCCGGCAGCCCCCGCGCCCCTGGGGGGGATGGACTACGCTTCCCATGAGCCCTCGCGAGTCAGGACTACAGTTCCCATGAGCCTCTRCGGCCCCCTTTCCCTCCCGCGGTCACCGGGGCAGCATGGCGGCGGAGCTTTGTGTGGTGAGTGGGCCCGGCCGCTATCGGCCGCCATCCGCGGGCACGCCGGGCCCGAGGGGCGCGGAGACAGCGGGAGGGTGTGCGGGAAACTCCCGTGCGCAGCCGGGACCGTCCGTAGGGCTGCAGTGAGGGCTCGAGGGAGTGTGAGGATGCCCCGTGCCCCTCCATGGTGGTTGGAGGGAACAAGGCTCGGGGCGCTGGGCCCCGCGGGCTCCGGCTCTGCCAGGTACAGCGGGCTGGCCCGAGCAGTGCTTGGCTCGCAGGGTTTCACTCCGCTTGTGCCGATTCTTCCCCAGCAGCGCCTGGGGAGAGCGTTTCATGGCAGCGAGTGCGGTTCAGCCGGGGCGCTGCTGTCGGGGCTGTCTCAGAGCACCCCAGGGGGACACAGCGGGTGAGACCCCGCGCAGAGCTGGGGTAGGGGAGCCACGTGTACCCGCAGGCCTCAGGTGCCACCCGGTGCCAAGAACTGATGTGTGAGGTCCTGCACACTTTAGCTGCTCTGGAAGCTGAGCTAGTGATGATAAAAGTTATCCCTGTCTGAAATTCATCTTTCCTCTGTGGAAGCRTAACTCTGAGGCTCAGTGTTAGAGACACAAAGGTGAAGGAATGATTTGTTACCTGAACTAACACCATTCCATTCCTCGGTTTACAGGGCACAACACCGTGTCAAGAAGGGGTAAAAACACTACCCTGGCTGGGAASCTGATTTATCTGCTGGACTGACAGTGCACCTGCACAATAGTAAGAAACAGCAGGATCTGCCTTGGTGTAATGTGTTTTTTTTTGTCCTTTTGGTGGGTTGCAGAAGAAAGACTCACTCTGTTGTATCAAATTATATCGTCATGCATCCCCGGTGTTCCTGGAGGGGATATAAAAGCCCAACGGCTTGATGAATGTAATTAAGCCAATCAAGGCTGAGGCTTTGTCACAGCTGGCACCCGAGTGTGCTGCCCTTTGCTGTCATGAGCACAAGCTGAAAGGCAGCACGGAATGAAAGGGAATTTTACCGGTGTTGGTGCCCAACAGAGCACCTGCTTTTCAGCGTGGTCAGAGATGAGCCAGGGTAGRAGGATTAGAGGTAGGAGAGATTGTATGACAGCCCATTATGGAGACACTTGACACAGCTCATCTCATAACTGTATCTGTCACAGAAATAGGCCTAGTGACAGGGTAATTGCTCTGTTTGCCTACCTGGAGGTGCCCTGGGACTGTTTCAAACTTGCATCAKGTTGCTGGGGGTGGGGAGGTGCAGCTCACCTGCCCCAAAGGGTCATCCTGGGAAAGACACACCCTGAAGTATCCTTCACCTGAGGGGATGTGGCTGTCCTAGGTCTGGTGAGTGCATTTCTCAAGATAAATCCGGAGACAAATTACACCATTGATGGATGGATTGTTCTTGTGTGCAAGAAGASAGTTAGATTGAGAGGTTTCTGGGGGATGGTAAGGAGAATGGCAGGTTGAAACAGCTTAAAAGGGTCCAAACTGCCAACGCCTCAAAGCTGGTGGGGTTTTTTTTTTCTTAAGCAAGGATTTAAATAGCATSCACCTCCCAAAGTTTCTTGTCTGTGAATGAGACAGTCCCCTGGCAAACAGGCTTCTCTCTATCTTGAGGGATGGGTTTCTGCTCTGCTAAGTTTGAGACAAAAAATGTGTGTTTCTGAATGGAGAATTTCTGTCTTTAATTCTTCTCCATGGGCCAGTGCTGGGGTTTTTTTCAGAAGTGAGGAAAAGAGGACAAACTTCATTTAAAGTACTTCTGCTAACAGTGTTCATTGTATTTAGGAGGAAATGGTCCTGCAGAATCCTGGGGCTGCTGTTGCCCAAAGGTGGCTTTGGCATGAGGGCAGCTGCTACTCTGGGCTTTGGGCTGGTAAGAGAATTCTTTTAATTCTTCAGTATGGTGTGTTGTTTGTTTTTAATTCATTAATTATATGCCAGGTCTGTAGGGAGGTTGAGTCACCTGCTGAGCCTAATCTCTGAAGATTTCCTAGGCAAAATCCCAGGAAGAAGAGCTGGGTGCACGTACTGTGTGTGGTTTGGGGAACATAAAGGATTTGTGTAGCCAAGGGTGGGACAGACACTGAGCCCATGATGTGCTGTTATCCCTGTCTGACACTCAGCTTGAGGAGGAAAATGTCCACTGAGGCTCAGGTACTTCCCTTAGTGGGTGCCCTGTCCCTTGCAGAGTCCACAGGCATGAGTGGCACCAGCATGACAGAATCTGTCCCCTGTCCTGCCACCCTGTGACGTGTGACAGCAGCCAAGTGTAGCCCCAGGCCCAGCTCCCCYCAGCCCCGAGAGCTACAGAGCTGCTGTTGTCATAGCACAGTTTAGAGCTGTGAAGAACTTTCAAGTTCCTTATGCAAACAGTGACAGGTTGAAGGGCAAATAAGAAATCATTTTTTATCTTGCTTGATGTACAGTCACTGAACACACAGGCTGGAACAGCACTTTGTCTTGGGCAGCTGACAGCTGCCTTCTGCTAAATGATTTTACGGTTTATTGAACAGAATTTGGCTTTGTTTGCAGAAGGTCAATAACAACTTCTGACAGGCTGCCCGGCAGAGCTGGTGACAGGGAGCGTCATCACCAATCAAAGCTGGTATGTGAAAGGGGAGGGAATGGCACCACAAATCAGGCAGGTTGGGTGCTCTGACAGCACAGCTGTTTTGCAGTCAGGATCAGGCAATGGGAAAAGCACTTGGAGCTTTTGGCTTGCAAGGTGTAACAGGGAGARCAAAGTGGAGAGGCAGCCTGGTGATGAAAGGGGAAAGTGAAAGCTACTCAGTGCTTTGAAACCAGAGGGGTAGAAATTGTTTCAGAAAACAGTTGTTTAGGAAAACAGTTACAGCCTTGTTTTGTGGTGTCTCCCAGCTCTAGAAGCAGCAGAAGGACGATTGTTCTGGACTGAATGTCAAAAAAGACCACTGATTGTCATTCGAAATGATGTGAAATGGCCACTTKTGTGTAGCCACAGGCTCCTCCTCACTGCTCAGTGGGTGCTGCAGCCACAGCATGGGTAAGTGATCATTAGAACCAAAAAGAATTTGGGTACTAATGSCATTAGTCAATGACATTGCTCCCACCAATGACATTAGTCAGGTTTTGTCTCCTGTGACCTGCACTGCAGATGAAGTAGTGCAAATCAGAAACTTCCCAGTTATTCTTGGCACCATCTTTTTTTTTTGTTTTCACACCAGGATCTGATCTGCAGGTGGCTGGAGAAAAGGTGGTTCCCTGCTTTCTTCTGTTCCAGAATAAAATAAATTGTGGAAGATCTTACTAGTTGAAATTGGTTTTTATTTGGTTATTTTTGTAAAGGTTGGAGTCCATGCTTTTAAAGGCGTTTTCCAATAAAGGGATTTCCAGTTGTAATGATTCTGATTCTTCAAGGAAAGAAATGGTTTTGTGCAGGTAGGAAGGATTTTGGATCAAAACCCCTCCTGGAATGGCAGTTGTGAGCTTACCCTTCGTAGCAAACCTGATAACACAATGACTTCAGTATCTGCAGAGGCTGAAGGTTGAAGTAACTCATGGGAAWGGTGACAAAATTAACTTAGAGCTAAGGTCTGGTGACAGATGGTTTGTGTGGTGTGCCTGGGAGTACAGCCTGGCTCCTTACCATGGCTGGTAAGTCCTTAAAATGGAATTAACTCCGGGCTCCACCCTTGGCTGGGAAATTCCCTTTTTGAGAGGGGAAAGGAAGGTGTGTGGTGAGTTCCCCATGTGTGGTGCCTGTGAACTGATGATTCCAGGCAGGATGCAGCACCATGACAGCACCTCCCTGCTCTCCCTGAGTGTCAGGGTGCTGCTGATGGCACCTGAGGCTTGGCCTGAGCTGGTTTGAGGAAGTTGCAGAGTGTCTTGGCCAAGGGGATGTGAGGATCAGGCTCATTCATGTCACGAAAGGTTTTGCTGTGTTTGGGAACACAAAACAGGCCTGACAGGCTGCCGTGGTGCCAGTGTGAGGTGACTCYGATGGGAACAAAGGTTAACTTGAGACGTGGGAACACCAGATGGGCCCCGAGCTAGAGATTACATCTGGAACAGGCTGGGAGCCTCACCTGCCGTCTGYGAACCGGCTGGAAGCAGCCTGCTGGGAGCTTCAGGGGCTTTGGAGGTTCCCTGGCTCAGGGCCAGGSTATCTTTTACCATCTCTGTACAGCAGCCTGGTACAGAAAATAGCATTTCAAGTGGGAATGGGGCCGTGCTTAGAACGAGCAGGTCTCAGTCTGAGTCTCCATGGTTTTAACCCGTTCCCATCCCCATCTGCCTCAGGAGCTGCTCCCCAGGTGAAGCCTCTGCTCCATGTTACTGCTCCTCTGCTGTGGGAGGTAGAGGGGATCCCACCCACCCAGTTCATGAAAACARCAGGAAGAGGCATTAAGGAAAGCAATCATTCAACATTTATGTAATTACACAAAGTGGGAAAGTGTTTTGGGTTACACTGATGTGTGTCCACCCTCCAGCCCCCACCCACTGGAGRGGCCTCCCCAGATGGGTTTCCCTGAGCAGTGCTGGTGTATGAGGGACAGCTGAAGGCTTCAGGACCCTCCCCTCCCTTGGGGTTTTGGGAAGGATGTGATGAGTGGATGTTAAGATGTTAAGAATGATGATCATTTTGACCCACCTGGTGTGGGGCTGCCTCTGAGAGGGTCCCACAGAGTCCCTGTGCAAGAAAAGCCAACAAACCCAGTGCTGCACCCACATGGCTGAGGCCAGCCTCATCTCCGGGCTGCTCAGAGCCTGGACATGTTCCTCGTGTCCTTGCTGAGCTGCTGTGACCCTCCTTACAGCTGATGTCAGAAAACACCAGACTCCAGCAGGGGACAGTGACAGGGCCCGCTGCGTGTCTGTCCCACTGTCTGTGCCACGGACCAGGGAGGAGAGCAGATCCTTCTGGAACGTGGCACACATCCATATGCAGCTGCCTGGAGCTGGGACATTCTGCAGTCTGGGAGGGAGGAGTTCTCCAAAYGTGCCACCTCCTGTCACCTGGTCTCCAGTGCAGGGATTTATCCTGCCCGCTGTGGTGCCACCGTGGTGATGAGCATTTAAGGTGAAGGGCATTTCCCAGCATCCTCTTCCAGCATTACCCTGCCCCTCCTGTTCTCCACGGGGTCACTGCTGCCCCACAGCTGTGTTTGTGGGGCTGGCAGCTCACAGCCACGTGCTGTGGCGCTTCTGGGTGCCCCAAAGGCCTCTTTCAGTCACACTGATCCCCRAGGAAATGAACATTTCTCCACCAGCGTCACCCTCACACCACTGCTGGCTGTGTTGCAGCAGCTCTGCTTTTGGGTTGGCTGGCCAGCTGGGAAGAGCCCTTGGGAGGGAGAAGGTGACCCTCAGGAAAAAGGAGAAGAGCCACAGGAGTCCTTGGACTTGCCCCTGTGGGCGAGCTCCTGGCCTCAGCGCTGGTAGAGGGTGATGATCCCTGCRCGGTGCAGGCTACTCCAGAGTGCTGCCTCCAGCATCATGTCATGGTTGGCATAAAACACCAGAGGCTTCTTCTCCACCTCATAGTAGTGGTCTGAGAACTGCTCGTAGTTGGCYGTGATGAACCCGTAGGCGCTGACCTGTGGGCAAAGGACGGGCTCAAGGATTCACCTCGGGTGGTTTGTCAACACCACCACTCCCTTCAGGGCCAGGGGACATGTGGAACGGTCACCAGGAGCTCCACAGCAGCCAAAGGGGGAACACCCTTGTCCCCAGGGGGATGGTTGCCCTGTGGCCCCTTACCTGGTCACAGGTGTGGAGCGCAGTGAGGAGCATGAGGGCGCCAGTGCTGGGCATGTACAGGGAGCCATACTGGGTGTTGAGGAGCTCTGACCGCAGGAACCTGCAGGGACACGGCAAACCATGTGAGGCTCAGGTCAAATCACAAAACGTGATTTGTTTTGGGGAATGGGAGCAAGGTGAGCACAGGGAGGGGTAGGAAGGGATGTGAGCTGTGCTGCAGTGAGCWGGAATGGCAGGGGAGAGATGTCTCTGCCTTGTGTGCAGACAGCAGGGCAGGGGGRGCTCCAGTGTCTGGACAAGACTGGGACTGCACTTTGGTACTGGGCAGCCACTCGTCTGCACTGGAGTGACCAGAGCTGGGCAGCAGCCACAGTGCTCACCACCCTCACCTTGCTGTCAGGTACTGCAGGAAATCTGGATGCAGCAGCTTGAACTTCTCTGCAGAGGCCTCCTGTCCAAAATACTTGTGTGGCCTGCAGCAGGGCAGGGAGAAGGGCAGARCTGTCACACAAGTTGTGGAGCTCCTTGTCCCAACAGGGAAGCCATGGTATGAGGACAGGAGTCACGCGTGCRTCACTGGGGGTGCTGGGGGATCTCGGGGAGCTACTCACTCATCWCCCTTGTCCGAGCCCTCGGGCACTGGGCTGCCCTGGATGGCTGATCTCAGCATGAGATAGTCACGGACATCCGAGGGGATGAAGATGTACTTCAGGTCCTGCAGCAGGRACACAGACATGGCATTGGAGGGTGTTTAAGGGCATTACCCATGCCASCAGGCAGAGACTGAGGGCTCCTGAGATGGGGAGAAGGTCTGGGAGCCAAAGCTGAAGGGACAATTTGGGATCACCTCCCTAGAAAACCCTCGTGGTCTCACCTTGCCCTGGGGGATGCGGGTGAAGCCGTACTCCTCGTAGGCGATGAGGGAATTCTTCATGGTGTTCACCGTGAAGCCGTAGAAGGAGACCTTGGTCCCGACATCCTCCTCGAAGCCTTTGATCACGGCCCCGTTGAGCCTGCGGGGAAAGCACAGGACCCGTGTCAGGGGCTGGCACATCCCCAGCACCCACAGCCCCATCCCACCTTGCATTCCTGCTCACCTGAACACCAGGTCGTGGCTGTCGATGGCCCGGCCCTGCCGTGAGCCGTTGAGGATGCCACCATTACCCACCACGGCGCAGCGGATGCAGCGCCCGGGGAAGGCGGCTCTGTCCCACAGGTGCCGGTTGGCCGAGCTGTTGAGGAGCCGGAGGGTGCTGCCCACCACTGGAACGGAGCAGATGGCACCGGTCAGTGGGGAAAGCTGTGTGTCCACCCCGTCAGCATGTCAAGCACGCATAGGGCTTGCAGAGCACAGCCAGGAGCTGCACACAAGAAAACTCAACACCATCCCCGTGCAGGAGAGTGTCTGCAGGTGGGCCATTGGTGTCACCTCCGTGTATCTCCCATGTTCCTACCCCTGCAGYCACTCAAGGCTGTGCAAGGCACAGGGATGCAGCCAGACATTTCCAGCCCAGCCCTGCCAATGCTGCTGCCTGTGCTGGCCACGTCCCCTCCTGACAATGTCTCTTTGCAACTGCCTCTGCTTCTCTCCCCCTCGCCATTCCCAGCACTTCCCAGCCCAGGGATCGAATCCGGTGGCTGCCGGGGAGAACAGAGAGTGGGTTTGGGGTGGGAAGGGAAACAATCTCGGTGCACAACAATGGAGAGGGTTGTCTGAGCTGCTCCGGCGCCAGTTAATAATCACGGACACACTGGAGCTTTTATTCAGGGAAAATGTCACAAGATGCAGCAAGGGGCGTTTGCAAAGCTGTGGCCTCCACCCTGTGCCCTGGGAGGTGGGGTGGGAAGAGATGAAGGTCCCTGGCTCCTCTGCAGGGTTCCTCTGCCTATCCCACATCTCCAGTCCCCTTCTGCTGGGCTCCCTCAGGCTGCCCCACATCCCAGCTGGGTCGGTACCTGCGAGGGACAAGCCTTGCCAGCCRTAGGGGACGTGCCGTGCCTTCAGCCTGTTCCAGGTCTCCAGGGTGAAGTGCTGGTCCCACATCAGCACAGGGGTGTCRAAGCGGAAGATCTCCCGAAATTTGGGGTCAGCCTTTGCTCTGGCCATCACTGAGTGCAGGCAGGGGCTGGGCTGGGAGGGAGGAAGGAGAATCCCTGCTCAGTCTCTGATACCTCCACCCCTCAGCAGGCACCAAGGGGAGGACAAACCCAGGGACAGAAATGTCCTTGTCCATCACATGTTCTGCGGGGTCATCAGGCAGGGCACTGCCTCATGCCTGGGTTTGCTGCTGCCAAAGAGCCTTTGGCACCCAGCTGGGCAGGGCTGGGAGAACCAGGGCTTACAGAGCCACCTGAGAGCATGAAAGGTGTTGAACCTTTGGGTGTGGGCACCCCATTAAAGGCTCTGCTCTGTGAGAACAGAACAGGAACAGCCCCCAGAGAGCCTGGGTTCATCTCTACAAGACTCCAGCCCAGGAGTCACARGGCTGGAGGGAGTGGATGCTGCTGGGGAATTCTTCCACACTGGGGAATGGCAGCAGGGAGGCCTGGGGAGAACAGCTCGTGTGGATGGACAAGGCTGCTCCTCCACAAACCCCTTGCAAAGGATGCTGCACCTCCTCAGCCTCCCCACAGAGCCCTTCAACCACCACAGCCCAGCACAGAGAGGCAGCACGGACATCACTGTGCTGTGCCAATGGTTACCTGCTTCCCGCTGGGCTCCGGCTCCTCCAGCTCGGCAGAGGGCTTGAAGGAATTCCCACTGGGATGGGGAAAACATACAGCAGAGTTAAAAATCCATCTCTTGGGCATTGGGGAATCCCACAGCAGGCAAGGGGCTCCCAGCTCCTCCCAGGATGGCGGAATATCTTCCCTCCTTACCTGTCCAAGTTGCCTCCGAGAGCCCACCTGCGGCTGCCAGCTCTGTGTGAYGTCCCCGAGGCAGCCAGGACCAGCGGCTCCGGCTGCAGCAGGCTGGGAGGAGACAGAAACACTGAGCACTCTGACTGTGAGAGCTGCAGGGCACGACCATGACCCCTCCATTTGCCTCCCTCCATCACTGCTTGTGCCCACCCACCTCCATCTGTGAGTGGATTTGCAAAATACACGGTTTGTGCATCCATAAACCTGGTGGGTCCCACCTCCAGGACTCCCTCACACCAAAATCTACACCCAGCCCAGCCTTTAGCCTTTGGGGAATGCTGCTGAGGACTCCCTGGCTTTTTCCACCATTCCTGAGGCCGAGATCTGGGCTGGTAAAAAAGCAGGCCAGGCCAGCAGGACACATTCAGTTGTTGCACTGGAGAAATGATCAGCAACTGGGGTTTGGAAGCTCTCAGGGTGCACGGGGGGCATGGGACCCCCTCTGCCATGGGGGCAGCTGGGGCATGCCCTGATCCTTTATTAGGACCAGGGGCTGCCCACCCCAAACAATTTGGGGTGCCCTGAGCCCCACGGGGCCAGGCTGAGCTGACCCAGCCCCCGGGGGGCACGGGGCAGGGGGTGGGCAGGGTGGCAGCCTGGCGAGCAGGAGGTGGGAGCCCACCGGAGGGGAACAGGCTCCCATTCATCCCCGCACAGAAAGGCCCTTCAGAGCCCCCCGGCCCCGCCCGCCAGCCCAGCCGGCAGGTGCTGCGGCCAGAACGGGCTATTGTGGAGGAGACAAGGGCTCCTTGTTATGGGATCTGTGCCTGGGAGCCTGGGGACAGGTAGAGGCAGGTGGGGAGCACAGCTTTTCCCCTCCAGCTCCCTCTGGCACGACACTGCCTGGCACAGGGGCACAGCGGGCGTTGGGTTTCTGTCCTGCCATGGTCCTGTCAACACCCACAGTGCTCACAGCCCTGCCCGGGAGCAGATCCAGACCCCTTTGCCACCCAAACCCCGCTCCGTGCCACTCTGGGGGCACAGCAGGACAGGGAGGCACAGCCCAGTGCCCTGGCTGGGGGCTGGCACTGGGGCTGGAGCATCCCAGATGTGGACGAGCAGGCAGTGCTGAGCAGGCTTTAGTCCCAGCACCTTCCCTGCACCATCCCAGCACTGCCAGCCCCTGGGAGGGGGTGCTGAGGGTGTGGGAGGCTGAGCCCCAGCAGAGCAGGGCAGCCTTTAAACCAAATCTGTGTCTTGCCTTGGTGTCCCCAGGATCTGCATGCAGCAAGGGCGAGGCCATCAAAGGCTGCACCAGACCTGGGGGCTGCATGGGGAGCTGCCCTTTGAGCCCAGGTACAACAGCACACCCTCCAGAGCAAAGCCCTCTCTCAGCCAGGAGCTCTGGGTGCAGTGTGGGCTCACCCCAGTGCAGGGAGCTCAGCCCAGAGCCTCCCCAGCCCCACAGTGCCTCCATCGCACAGTGCAGGCGATCCCCAGCCCGTGTGCCTCACCAGCAGAGCTTATCAACACCTCCACCACCCAGCCCATGGCCCAGGGACTGGAGAAACTTCCCTGCTCCGACCCCAGAGCTGGCTCCTGTAAACTACTGAGCTCCCCGTGTGCAGCCCCTGGGTTGGCCACCCACCCCTTTTCTGGCCAGAGAGATGCACCCACACCAAACCCTGAGACCATTACCTTCAACCACCACACCCAGGCTTGAGCTGTACCCAAACAGCTTTGCCCAGCCCCACCACCTCCCAGCCCTTCCCTTCAGGCTCACCAGCCCCAGGGGCACCGCTCTGCCCACCCAGTCCCTCCTCAGCTCTCCAAGCTCTCCCGCTCTCATTTCTTCCCTCTCCCTCCCCTGGCTCAGCCCAGTGCCTGCAGGACAAGGCAAAGCCCTGAGCAGTGGCACTGGGAGGGTGCTGTGCTATTTTCTGAGCTGCAGGGATGCTGTGGGAGCCCAGGGGGCTCGGCCTGACTGTGCCCAGGATGGAGGGAGGTGGGCACAGGCAGCCTGGCTCCCACTGACCTTCCACGGGASCTGGGCCTCGCCTCCACCCATGGCCGGACACAGTGGGTGGCACCTGCTCATCGTTTTGTGCTGAACCGATAAATYGGTGCCAGCACCTCCCTGCACTTGCTTGCCAGCTGTGGGTGCTGGAGCCAGCTCCCCAGCAATGCTGCTGCCCAAACCCTGCCGGGAAGGGTGTGGGGCAGCTGGCCCCCCACCAGACAGCAGCGTGATGAGGAGCCAAGCGCTTTGACGTCACCTGCCAGGATGTGGTGAAGGACCTCGTGCTGCTTGGTTGACTCAGAAGATGACAACCCTGCCCGAGACCCAGCGATGCACAATGGGGCTTTGGGAGGAGTGGCTGTGACTGCCCGGGCACCGGCGGTGGCAGCAGAGCTGGCCAAGCCTGGGTGCGCTCCCTCACCACTGTGACATTCACAAATATGACGTTCCTGGTCCATGGCCATCCCTCATTTCCGGAAGATAACGCTTTGTGTGAGTGTTGTGAGCACAAACTCCAGCCTTATCTTGAGCAAATACTCCCAGGGCCCCACAGAGACATCCAAGGGAGCCAAAACAGCAACAAGAACCCGCTCTTGCTCCATCTCACCATGCAGGGCTGAGCTCCAGAACGCTTCTTTCCCTGGTGCAGGGCTGGAGTGGCACAGCGAGGCTGGGCAGAGCTCCATGCTCATCCACTCTCCCCAATAATAAAACCATGAGTGGAGCCAAACACCTCACCAGTGGGGTTTGGGGGGATGGACAGGCACCAGGACAGGGCTGTRCCCAGCTGAACCCCAGGGGCTTGGGGCATTTGGCTCCCTCCATCCTTGCCTGGCTGGCTCTGCAGGGACCAGGGCACTTTGCCCATTTCCACAGGGCCACCAGCTTTGTGCCGAGCTGGAGGTGGACTCAGGATTGCTGTGGGGATCTGGTCCTGGGCTGACTGGGTGCTGGCAGCAACCACCATCCATCAGAGCATCAGCTTCCTCCTGACTGCCTTTGTCCCCCTGCAGCTCTGCATGGAGACACCGCTCACACAGACAGAGCCACCTGCACCCACAGGTGAGGACTCTGGCCCTGCTGTCCCCGCTGGTGCAGCAGGGAGGGAGCTCTGTGATGGCAGCTGTGTGAATGCCCCCAGCCCAGGGCCAGCTCCGGACTCAGCCCTTCACCAGCAGCAGGGCAGCACCGATCCCTGCAGGGACACAGCTCCGTGGGGACGAGCTGCACTCATGGGGTGCCGTGTTTGCAATCGGAGCCATCAGCCATGGTGTGGTTTGGGTTTAGCAGTAGGAATTAAATTCAAGTCAAGAGGGGAGTCCAGGAGAGTTTTGGTGCACAGGTCAGCTCCACATTACCTCACCCAGGGCCCCTCTTKGGGGCTGGACAAGCTGACCCTTGGTCCCATCGGTCAAGGGGCCAGAGCCTGGGCTGCCTTCCAAGGAAGGTGACGTGGGGCTGTGGCAGGTCCAGGCAGGGTAAGGCAGTGACAGCCTGCCATGTGCTGGAGGAACCTGCTCCCTGCTTCCATCCCATGGCTTTCCTGCACACCCTGCTCTCACACCCTGTGCCAAGCACGGCTGGTTTCCATTCCCAGCTCCACTGTGCTCCTTGGGCACATTCTGCTGCCCTCACGGGCTCCAGTTTCCCTTCTCATGAACATAAAACTCTTTATGGGGAGCTGCTCCACACCCCAACTGTGAGTGCCCTGAGCAGTTCCGTGTAACACCGGCTCCGGCACCGCTGCGCACCGGGCACGGGGAGGGTGGGAACAGCCAAACCCTGATCCACCAGCCTGGCAGAGAGGGGATCTCTGCCTTGGGCAGGATGGCATCAGGCAAGGAGAGCTCCCAGCTGGGGAAGAGAGAAGGTGTGAACCTCAGGGCAGTCCAGCCAGCTGCATCCCCAGCAAATCCCACAGCAAATGTCACCCTGTGTGCAGGATCCGTTCCGGTCCCCACAGCATCCCCCATTCCTGGGTGACATCCAGGCACCCAAAAACRCCCAAGAGGAGGTGAGGGACACCCACAGCGCTCTCCTGGCTCATCACCTGATGCTCGCAGGGGACAGGGCAGCTGCTCCCGSAGCCCAAGCGCTGTGCGGGCTCCCTCCCCTGCCCGCTCATCCGCTCTCCCTGGGGCACCCCAGAACCCCTGCCTGGCTCGGGGGAGGCTCAGAAGKGGCTTCGCGAGGTTTGGAGCATGCAGGGAAGGCAGACAAAGGGGAAGTTGCAAATTGCCGGAGTTTGGAAAACGCTGCAGCCCGGAGAGCTTGCGAGAGGTGGGGGCAGCCCGGGGGATCCAGAACCGGGGCAGCCCGGGAAATACGGGATCGGGACAGCCCGGGGGATCGGGGACCGGGACAGCCCGGGAAATACGGGACCGGGACAGCGCGGGGGATCGGGGACCGGGACAGCCCGGGAAATACGGGATCGGGACAGCCCGGGGGATCGGGGACCGGGGCAGCCGTGCCCTGCCTCTGCTCTGGGGGGTCGGTGCAGCTCCTTGGGGCTCAAACCTCCCCAGGACAATCAGCCGGCTGCGATCCTGCACCAGCCCGGCGGGAACACGCGGCGCTCTGGCCGGCGGCTGAAGCGGGTTTGATCCTCTCCCTCAGACATCCCTGGACTCTGCAATGGTTTCTTTGCACTGTGATGGGCTGAACCCACGCGGGGACCCCTGGAGACCCCCACGGCCCTGGGGTCCCGCTCTGGGCAGCTCTAGGGTCGGCTGGGGGCCGTGGGCAGGAGCCGGTGCCCAGGACTCCTCAGAGTGCGGGCAGAGCCCGCTGCGAGCACATTTTCCAAACCAGCCGAGGGCCGGGGACAGAGCAGGGATAACCCGCCCCAAGGGGACCACACCGGCACCCCGATTCCCCATCCCCATCGCACCGCACGGTATCTCATGCTGGATTTGCACATCCCTGCCTGCCACCCCGCTCCCCATCCCTGTCCCCATTTACCTGGCTATGATCCTCTGGCTGCTGGGCGCCCCCATCGTAGCGTAGTAGTGACTATAGAGGAGCAGAGAGGATGTTAAACCTGCCATGAGCAAAAGGCAGAGCCTTTTCCAGTGCGGGGACCCCATCCCGGSCACTTCAACCACTGCAGCCTGGCAGGAGAGCGGGAGCGCGGCTGCCGGCCCCGGCACACAAACTTCCCGGCGCCGCTCCTCTCGCAGCCCGGTGGGCGCGGACACCGCCGTGGGCTGGCTCCGAGCTGCCCCGGTGCCCAGCTGCACTTGGGAGCAGGCTGGGATATTCCTCCGGAGCGGTGGGAGGGAGGGTGTGAGCCGGAGGGAGGAGGCACCAGGCTGACTGGTTCAGACTTGCTGAGAAAAAAAGCACTTTTGAGCTGCTTTTTTTCTCCGAGCTGGGGATTAAACATTTACCCAGACCAGAAGGGAACTGCGATTTTCGTTTTTATCCTTTTTTTTTTTTTTGCCTCCTTTTCGTGCAACCCACCCACAGCTCATAAAAAGGGTTCCCCTTTCTGTAACTTTCTTGTCTGACTCAAACACGTGCTGTTCACCGGCGGCTGCACCCACACGGACACCCGGGGGCCCCACGGTGCCACCCCCGAKCGTGTCCGGGGTATTTTATGCTTATCAGAAACTGCAGGCTCTGAAGTGGAAACGAACGCTCACCTTTGGGTGCCCGATAGCAGCACCKTGTCACGTACCCGCAGCCAGCCGGCGAACCCGCCAGGAGGGAGCAAATTCGGGGGAAAAGGGACAAGGGGGACCTTGGTGGGGTTCTGCCACTAAGGAGGAAGAGGGACACTCATGGGGTGCTGCCCCCGAGTCCCCGGCCACGTTTTGGCTAAACAGATCTCCCACCCGCAATTGTGTTTGCAGCAAACAAAACAGTTCGGGGCTTTGTGGCAAGTTCGACAAAGAGTTTGGGTCGAGGAAAACGAAAACCAGGTTTGGGAGAAAAATTGCATGAATTATTTTGGTATTTTCGGAGAGGATGTGTTCCAGTTTCTTTTTTGTAAGAATATCTCGGTGTTATTTTAGTTCGACTCCGAAAGAACCAGCCTGTGAACTGAAGGATATGCATACCAAAATGTTTGTTGCAGCGGGGGAAGGGACTCGGCAGGCAAACAAGCCTTTTCAGTTGAGCTGTATGGATTTKGGGGGTTGGATTTTTAGGAAGTCACCAGACTCGGGGAGCAGCACGGTGGTGAGCCCTGCTCCATCCAAACCCTGTGCCCGTGGCTCCCTGAGCACTCAGGTGTTTTTCCAGGGTCACCCAGCTCCAGCCCCTACACAAATACCCTGTTTCATTTTTCAGCCCCAAATGTGGGGCCAAACCCCATCCCTGTTCCTGAATCCCACTGGTCACCCCAGGTGTACTCACAGCTGCATTTTCCCCAACACTCCTTTATYCCCTCGGATCCAACCACTCCCCGTTTCCTTTCCAGTCTGCCCAGGCATGTTTGCAATGATGCTTCTTGTTCCAAACAAAACCCATTTTAACAGGAGTTTGCTYCAATCTCCACTTGTTTCCATCACTCCAGATCACTCCACTGCCAGCCCYGGTCCTCTGGGAGTTTTGGCAGTGTGGGGCTGGCACTGCCTTGGCATCCATGAAGTGCCCAGGCTGTGGTGAACACAGGAGCAGGTCTGAGGGTGGCAGTGGTGTCAGCACTGGCCTCATCCCGCCAGGACACAGGATGCTGGACCTGGGATACCACGAAGGGATGGTGGGCAGGCTGGTTTTAAAGAAAAYGTGCAGGGGACCATCCCTGCAGGGCACAGGGAGCAGTGGCAGGAAGGTTGGCTGGGCACAGTTGTCTCAAGGAAGGAGAGAACAGGCAAGAAGCTGGAAGGACAGGACAGACCATCAGCACTTGGATGCAGAGGGATGAAATCAAGCCTAAATAAATCTCAGCCAGAGCAAAAGCTGCAAAAGGACAGGCAGAAAGAGGGAGTCACATGTACCCCAGTGGCAAAAGGCAGCTCAGAGAAAGGGGAGTACATCGATGGAGGGATTTTACGCTTTTTGCCTCTCTCACTAAAGGCTGCTCCCAGCCCTCAGGGGTACTGGCAGTGTCTGGAAGACTCAGAGCCAGCAGAGTGTGGTGAAGAGTCTGGGGTCCTGCTCAGAGGTCCCCCAGCCTGGAGCTGTCCCCACTGAGCATGATTCAGGGTCTGCCTTGTTTGCTCTGACCCGCTGGATTCGCTCCCTGCGATCCGGTGCCTTGCCTCACGTGCTCTTGACTCTGGCCTTCGTTAACCRCAGCTAATTATTACCAACTGCTCGAGTAAGTCACAAGGGACACAGCAAGGCTTGGCTGCAGATGGATGACCAATGGTCCAGAGGAAGTGACCTGAGGAAAGTCAGGATTTTGCCATTTGGAAACATTTATGGCCCAATCATGCAAATGCYGGTGGAGTGGCAGCTTCAAGGGCTGGAGGAGCTGGTTTCTTCAAATCTCTCTGTTTCCATAATATATGGTTTTCTACTGTTGGTTTTATTTTCAGCGGGGTGAAAATGAGATGCACAGTTCTTCATCTGCTCTACTTGTTTTGTGCTACAATGCATTTTGGACTATGCCCCAAAATTAAGTGGTGCTTAATTTAGAAGTTAAATAAGTGTGAAAAACCTTTTAGGATGGTAGTTGCCAAAAAAAAGATTAGGAAAAGAACATAAAAGAAATTACAATGAAAACCAGCAAGTATCATTTTTAGCCTCGGCTTTTTATTCCAGTGATTACTTCTTGGAAACAGAMCCCAATCCCTCCTCATGGCTAGAGAGCACGAGAGGAGAATAAACACATTTTGCACCAGCTGGCTGCCGGCCACAGGCTGGTGAAGGAAAATCTCATGGTCTTTGCCATGATGAACTGTGCAGGTGGGAGAATGAGATCTCCAAAAATCTCCTGGAGGATTTCTATATCCAAATTCATTAAGCACGGGTCAGAGGTGCATTTAAGAAAGTGCCAAAAATCTGCTCATGGAGCACGTCACTGAAACGTAGAGCGGGGCCAGAGCGGGTGGCTGTGTCACCCCCTGGAGAACGCGGGGCCATATGGCTGCCTGCAGAGGCAYGGCCGTGGCAGCATGAAAAATTCATCAGCAGATGTCCCGGGAGGCTGACGCACGGCCCCTGCCCGCTGGGGCAGGGAGGGCAGCGGGAGCAGCTCGGCCGGAGCTCCGCTCGCCAGGCTCCCCGCCCCGGGGAAACGGGGTCAGGCTGGGGATGCTCCCTGACTCTCTGCTCGGGTTTGTGTTGGATGTGTAGGTGTTACGACAACCATAATCGGGGAATGAGGACACAGAGGATGGCTGGAGATGGGGTGACAGCAGGGTGGTGGCTGCGTTCGGCTGCGGGACCAGAGATGCTCTGGGCTGTGCTCTGCCCCTCTGCCCTGCCCACCCCACCATGCTGCTGGTGGGGAAAGGGGCTCAGGGGTGCAGCTGTGCAGCAAAACTGGTTTGCCCTGCTCAGAGAAACTGGTGAAGGGTCTGGAACACAGATCTTATAGAAGCTGAGGGAGCTGGCGTTGTTTAGGCTGGCAAAGAGGAGGTACAGGGATAACCTCCACAACTCCTGACAGGAGAGTGTGGGGACTGGCCTCTTCTCCCCGACAACCAGTGATGTGATGAGAGGGCATGGCATTAAGCTGTGCCAGGGGAGGTTTAGGTTGGACATTAGGAGGAATTTCTTCACAGAAGGGGTTGTCAGGCATTGGAATGGGCTGCCCAGAGCAGTGGTGGAGTCCCCGTCCCTGGAGGCGTTTAAGGAAAGACTGCATGTGGCACTCACTGCCATGGTCTAGTTGGCAAGGTGGTGTGCAGTCAAAAATTGGAATCAATGTCTCACAGGCCTTTTCCAAGAAAATTGGTTCTGTGATTCTGTGATCTTTGTGCCAGGGGGGCAGAATGTGGCCCATCAGGGAAACATATCCTATATCCCCTCMTGCTCTTCCCCAAAGCAGGAAGGTTTGGGGGCAGTGCCATGGGTGGCAGTGGCAGGTCAGGGCCTCGCAAGCAGTGCCAGGATGTGGCTTAGGCTGGCTCATRTTGGCTCACTCCCCGTGGCCCTGCTGGCCCAACCCGGCTCTTATCGCAGCTGCCTGCACATGGCAGAGCCCTCGGGCAGCCCTGGACCGGGGCTCAGATAAGCCAAACACACAGTTCAAAGGCCATCCCCTCTCCACTGGCATGAGGCCCTGGGCTATGCTCTGGAGGGGTGTAGGGATGGGAAGCCTTTCTGAGAAATCAGGGTGTCAATGCAAACTGCTGCATTCCCCTTCTTGCTGGGTCTGGAGCAGATGTGACTGATCCTGCCCTGCCTGCAGCCAGTTCCTGAGCTCTGCTCGAATCCACATGTCCATGGGGTCAAACCAGGCTCTGTCCCCAGGGCTGGGGAGAGGGGACAACGTGTTTGAGTGTGGGTTGGTGACCCCATGTCCACCCACCTRTGTGGTCCCATCTGACACTGCATGGCTACCATGGGAGGGAGCCTTGGGATGACCTCAGGACTCAGAAAGCCTCTTTCCAGAATTTGCCACCCCAGGGGCTGTGCCAGGCCAAGCTGGGAAAGGCCTGCAGCACCCAAGGTCCTGTTGCTAAGCCTGGCAGAGGAGCCCTGCTGCACCCCCTGGAGCTGTTTACCTGCAGGGCCCTATTCCAGCACCTGGAGGTGAAGGTTCCTGGCAGGTGAGGACCTGCTTTTTGCAAAACAAAGCCATGGGCTGCTTCTTTATCTTGTTCTCCCTCCCCTATTATCAGTAGTTTTTCTGGTCCAACTGGATTTACCTGCAACCACATCCCCAAGAAATGGAGAAGGTCCACACAGCAGAGGAAAGGAAAGGGAACCCACCATCTGCACCCAAGGACTGCCCCAAACCCTCTAGCAACCGAGGAACATAAATAGCACCTAGTAAATCCCCAGCACAGAGCGTTTTGTGCTGGCCTGGAGCAGCATCCCACAGCACCCAGTCAGCCACAGCAGCTTGAGAGTAACACATCCAGAGGAAGCATCTCCATGCTGAACAGTTGGGTACTGGTTGGGTACTGGTTTCCGGCTCTGGCTGCTCTGTGCCTCAGTTTCTTGCCTGGGAAGGAAAGACACAGTGTTGACATGCCACCAACGTCAGTGGCAAGTGGCACCCTCCTGGCTGGGTTTGGTGTTGGCTGCCACCTCTAGCAGGGACCTCAAACCCCAGGACACAGTGCACAGCCCACGTTGTCCCTGCTCCTGGTGCAGCCAAACCCAGACAGGCTCCAGAGAGCAGGGCCAGAGTGACCAGCAGCAGGGACAAGATGGGCTCTGCACCACTCACTTGTCCCCAAGGTACATCCCTGTTCCCCAGCAAGTCCATGCCTGCTTCTCCTGCCTCATCCCCAGTCAAGGAGCATCATGAAAACACAGCAGGAGAGTGTGGTCACTGCTTCTGCTAGACAGGTGAGCAGCCACACTCAAAGATGGAAKAAAAATATTAGAAGCCCTGCCAGGAAGGTGACACCATGAGAGCTTCTGGGCAACAAGTAGTTTTGGTTTCTGTGATCTGGYGGGGAATATTTAGCCCAGGAGGAGTCTGGCACAGCTGTAATAACAGTTCAAGGTACTCACCATGAGCTCTGGAAAAAAAGCAGGGCTGACACAACAGCAGCTTCTGGACATGCTGAGCCACAGTGATGCACTTATGCCCCAAATCAAACATCTCAGTTTAAATCCTGCAGCCCCAGAGGTCCTGGCTGGCAGTGGGGCATCCACTGGGCGCTGGCGCTGGGTGTCGTGTCCGTGCAGGAGAGGAGTCGCTGTGTCTGTGCATCCCTCAGGATGTCAGACCTGATGCCACCCTCAGCCCTCTGCCCRTGCTGCCTTCAGCTCCGTGCCATGYTSCAGGAGCAGAGGCCACAMTTTGCACACACYTTGTGGCCRTGAGGCAYCAAACCTCTGCTCCGTGTGTCCCTCCATGGCCCAGGGAGCCCCTGGGCAGGCACAGAGCTGTGCACAGCACCTGGACACGGTGCCAGAGCCGGCACAGGACCCTGAACAGGAGCTGCCACCTGGTGGCACAGGGACAAGCTCGCTGCCCTGCCAGCCGTGGAGATCGGATTTTGGCGTGGCCCTGAACCATGGCACCGGCTCGGAGCAGTGACACTGAGCAGGCTGGGGCTACTCTGGCACAGCCCGGCAGTGCTGCTTTCACCCTGGGACACTCACCCAGCTGGGAGCTTGCCCAGCAGCCCTGAAACCTGGCTCTTGCTTAGAGTGCTCCAGCTGTAGCTGCTCCCCACAGGCTGCATTCCACTGGTTTGTGCCAGGCTGCAAATTGGCCGGAAAATGCCGCCTCCAGCCCTGCCCAGCTTCCTGTGGCCACTCCAGACCCGATGCCACAAGAGCAGGTGGCTCTGGTGAGGCACAGCTGGATTGGTGCTCCAGGGAATGTGTGCAGGTGTGTGCCACACCTCAGCCAGCCCACAGTGGGATGGCATGTCTTGGAGCAAAGTGAGGAGGTGAGGGCAACTATCAAGTCAGAATCGCTTTCCTGGGATTAGAAAGGATGTGGCTTTGAGCTTGCTGGGAAACTCCAGACCACAGCAAAGGCTCTTCTTCCAACCARGATTACCCTTGATAACATCAAACTCTGCCAGCTGTGTTGAGGGAAAAGCCTGAAGGGAACAGGGAACAGGCTGTGCTGGTGGAAAAAGCCTCCTGGGAAGTTTCCTTCCCTTGACTCTGGGAAGCCTCCGCACTGGGGAAAAGCGTGGGCTGGGGGCTGCCAGCCCCTCCCTAAAGCCTCCTCACCCACTGGGGAATCCTTGCTCAGTGGGACTCAGCCCCTTCGTGCTTCCCAGAGSAGAGGGAGACAAAAGAGGAGGGAGGGGGAAGGGAAAGGTCTAAGAGAAATTTCTTCCAACTTCTCTGCAAGAGAAAAGCCCCATTCAGGCAGGAAGAATACCCGGTGGAGCTGGTCACTAAGCAACCCTCAGCAATGTGGTATGGCCTGAGGGACAGGCAAGGAACAAAACTGCCTGGCTGCCCACCCACAGCCCATCTGGGAGAGCCTGCAGGGCCTGGGGACAGGGGACACAGCCACCATGAGGGGCTGAGACCTCCAGCACGTTCACAGCTCCTGGGTGCAGGAGTTTCTCCTCCATCAGCTCTGGATTGGGACCTCCAACAGGCTTCCCTCTTTGCTGCCCAGGAAGGATTTCTGGTCCGCTCCAAAGCCCGTGAATCCATATTGGCCTGGTGTTCCCACAGGGATACATCATTCCCAGCAGAGGCACAGTGCATTTTGGACAAGTCCCTGCTCCCATGGACACTGCAGGCTTGTATGGGCAGAGCAGGCAGGCACAGGCCACACCCTCTCCAGAGAAGCTGAATTCTGCATTTAGATTTTCAGTGTGGGGGGTTGTCCCTCACAAACAAGATCAGTGAGACATGAGAAACTGCCTGGCCTCTCTGTAGCACAAGGAAAAAGGACAAAGGAAATCAAGCCTGACAAACCCTGCTGACAGTCCCAGCTGAAATGCCTTCCTTGGAGCCCAGGGAGTCCCTGGAAACGCTGCTGCCCCCAACAAAAATGCTGCAGAAATGGAAAAACACTCACAACCATAGTAGGTTCATCGAGAGCACAAATGGTTAACCCCAGGGAGATGCACTGGACACTGGAAGTGGCTTTTTGCCTGCATGGTGTCATGGGGGAAACATCCAGCCCTTCATGCATTTGCCTTGAGCATCTGGTATTCTTGGAGAGCAGTTGCTGGGACAGGGACAGACTCGCCAGGTGTTCACCCAGTTCYTGAGGGAGGTGTTTGGACAGTGCTGATCCCTGTCCTACAGCAAGATGAGAAGCAGGGGATGCCCAGATGTGTCCATACAAGCTGCAGAGCTCCTTCAGGTGGAGGTAGTTTCACTACCCCTCAGTCCCACCCTTTCCAAACTTTGTCACCTGCTGTATCTCAGCCTTTAAAACATCACTTCTGGGCACACTAAATAACCACAACCCACGAGGCTGCAGTGAAAGATCAGCTTRGCCAAAGTAGTACCATTTATTTTGCTCACAAAACCCCTTCCAGGAGGTCAACACACTCACTCCAGGTTGCTGGCTGCAATTTTGTCCCACCCAGCACCATGGGGCACAGGCACTTCAGCCAGCAGTGAGGACACATAGCACCCATCCCTGCACTTGGAGAGTTCCACCTCTCCTGGCAAGGGGACAAACACAGTGCTCTGGGCACAGCTGGGAGCCAAGCATGACAAAGTCCAGCTACGCAAGGACTTGGCACATCAGGTCCATGCAAAAAAATTCACATTTTGTGCAGCCAGGGAATCCCTGGAGCAAGAGTCACCAGGTACAGCAGGTCTGTCTCCACATGGAGAGCAGTTACCTGCCCTTGGCTTGATGGCAGTGCTCCTTTGGAAGTGTCACAACAAGGCCACACTGGGGAGCAGAAGAAAAACTCGTTCTCTCTCATATTACTCATATGAAAGTGTCAGTCCATCCTTTTTATCTGCAGAGAGCAGAGTACMAGCAGGCCCCACAGAAATTAAGTCAACCTGAGACAGGACCACCTCCATCCATTCCAACTCCTCAGRGAGCTTGTTTAGATAATACCCAGCTCCAAAATGGGTACTGCTAATGGAGAGGATCCACCCAGAAAAGAAATAGCCTCAGCCTGAGCACCAYCTCCTTGCAAAGAGAGAAAACCTGGAATAAATAAAGGAGACTGGACCATGTCCATCCTGGATTCTGCTCTCCTAATACCCGTGCCTACAACAACCAGCAAGAGTCTTGCAGCACAGCCAGCTGGGACTTTGTTGGCACGCTGCATTTTCTTGCTGGTCTGTGGGTCTGCAGCGTTCACACATTTGTTGAAATGCTGTGAAATAACAGACGTGCTGAAGGAGGGAAGTGTCTGTGGGGATGAAATGTGCCTGGCAGTCCAGAGCTAACCTTGGCTCTGCTGGTCCTCTTCCATTTCCAGTGARGTGTTGTTGAGATTTCCCAAGCAATGGCTCACACAGTCAGGATCTCTGGTAAAGCTTCATGATATTCTCATCATGAAGCCTTTTCCACACCTGCTTCTCCAGGTTGAAGTCATGGTTAATGTAGAAAACCAGACGTTTCCGCTCCTTGTCGTAGTAGTGATCCGAGTACCTCTCGTGCCCCTCTGTGATGTAGCCGTAGGCACTGACCTGGGAAAGATGCAGGGCTCACTGGGCAGGGGTACCAGGGATGGAGGGAATGGCTGAAACACAGGACACAGCTCCCAAACAGGGAGTGAGCACAGGACACAGCTCCCAAACAGGGAGTGAGCACAGGACACAGATGCCAGTGGGGGCTCCTCTGGTGACCCTGCATAGGGATCCAGAAGGACCAGACTGTGTGCACTGCCTCCAGAGATCCTGTGTCCCCACCCTGACTCCCTGGGAGCTCTAGGTCACAACAGGCTTCCCAACATCTAAGGGAGCTATTTTGGGGCTATTCCTCATCTTCAATCTGCTCCTCCTCAGCTGACATGAGCCCATATATTCTCAAGGCAGATAGCAGCCATCCCTGCTCTCCACTCTACCCCGTTCCCACTTCCAGCCAGTTCTGGGTGCAAGAATCAGTGTGCCCTTACCCGGTCACAGAGATGGAGGGCAGTCAGCAGCAGGAAGGCCCCTGTTGTGGGTCTGTACAGCCTCCAGTAGTGCTTTTCCAGATTTTTAGATTTTAAAAACCTGCAGCAGGAGAGAAGAAAGCACTGAGCAGKTGCTGGGTGTGGTGTTTCAAGCAGGGTACACCTTGCTCCCTGTGGCTCATGTGGCATCTTCTCTCCTTGCAGCAGCCTGGGGCCATATGAGGAATTTCAGAAAAGCCATGAGTATGCCCAGAACTCTCCATCACCTGCACTGCAACCTAAGCCCAGCTTTATGGAAGTGGTAGGTCTTGAGGCAGTGGGGATAAGGAGGGGATGGATTAAAGGATTTCATAGGTTAAAGCCCACTGCTCTTAGATCTGTCCTTTGCCTTGGGGTGCAGAAATGCTTAGAAACTCCCTGGTATATCCTGCTCCCTGAACACATCTAAGAGTGAAACAAGACATAGGGAAGATGCAGAGGAGCATCACAAAACCTGCCAGGAGCTGTGATCATGCCAGGAGTTGTTAGGAAAATAGGAGTAAACACTGGGAAAAAAATAGCATGGAGTCCTCTTGGCCTTGGAAAGGACCCAAGTCGGAGGGGGAACAGCAGAGCRGGCAGGGAGTGCCGGCCATCTGCTCTCAGGGAAGGCAGCAGCTCTCAAGGAGACTGAAGGGTAAAGGCAGCCAAAGCAGAGCACAACAGAACTCCTGTTCTTATCTCTCTTGGTCATGTGTGACCCACAAAGGGCACATCCCACAGTGACCATGACCAGCAGGCRTGTGAAAAGGGCTGGAGAGGCACAGARGRGCAGCAGCCAGGCCAGGCAAAGGGCRTGCTGAAGAAGGGCTTGTTGTCGTGCTCGAGGGCACAGCCAACCTCCCCAGTCTAGAAGGAATCTTTGGAAAGAAAGTCTGTTACAGAGCCTTCCTCCAAGGTGCTTAGCAATGGGCAACATGAAAGGCTGGTCCTAAACTAGAGATCAACTCTTCTGGCACTTGAGCAACACTCTTCCTACACCTTGAGTTGCAATTGACTCTGGGCCTCTTGTGGATGCAGAAAACCAAACTTCTGATGGCTGCTGTTTCTCCAGCTCACAGATTCTGGATGTTTACCCACAGCTAATACCCCACTGCAGCACCACCCAGAGTTCCAGCTGAGTTCACCCTGCTGAAGCTTATCCCCAGGCTGCTGGTGTGGCTGAACTGGGGTTACTGGGAAGGAGATGGGAGGAGACACCAGAGACAGAGAAGGATGGTGCTGGCCAGGAAAAACAAACCTATTAGAGCACACAAGCCCCAGCTCACCTGTTTTTCATGTATCTGAGGAAATCAGGGTGAACCACCAGGTATCTGTCCATTGTGAAATCTTTGTCAAATTTATCCCGGGGCCTCTGCCTAAGGACAGGAATGAGAAGACTCAGGACAAACACATCTCATCACAGTTAGAAAGGATCAGCCCTGATGCACTTAGTGGTAAGAGAAGAACCATAAACACTGTGAAGGTAGCATTTCCCAGATCATGATAAAGCCTCCTTAGCCTGTGTGCAATCCAGAGGAAGAGTTCAGGAAGGAGAGGCAACAACAGGAGACAGGAATATCAAAAGCTTATTATTGTATAGGCAAAAATTGGTGAAACCAGCCCTTCATCCACCAGCAGGCTGCATCAGACCAGCAGCTGGTGTTCATCCCCAAAAGCCACAAAGCTGTCTCCACACTCKGGCCACACGTCATTGAAATCATCTGCCTCTGGGAAGGAGGTGTATTGGCCACAGCAGAGCTCAGAGCTGAGGGGGACATGAGATACTTCTCCAAGCAAGTGTGGTGCAAGGGGAGGGAGGCTTTACCCTGGTTTTACCTTGGCCTGGCCCTCTGCAGGGCTGAGCATTGTTGAGAGGGAAAAGGGAAAGGGCACAGCAGAGCTCCCCACTGGAGGGGTGGAGACAGCCATAGTTTGTTTTACCCGCTGAGGTTCAAGAATCCTTTCCTGATGTTCTCGTTGAACAGAAGAGCTTTCAGCCACTCATAGTCTCTTGCTCCCTCCAGGAAGTGAATGTACCTGACATGCTAAGAAAACAAGTRAGCATTAGTGAACTGTAAAACAAAATGCAAGCAGACATCTCATCTCACTGAGTTTCTTGGACACACATCTTCAGTCTGCAGCACTCAACTAGCCTACAGTGGCAGAATGGAGATCACATCTGGTGTGCAGCTCCTTCTACATGCCACAAGGCTGGGGTGGCACTGACACACTCCCTCTGAGCCAAGTGCAGGTTCCTTCACTGAGGGTAATGCTAAAGGGCTGGCTCAGCTCCTTTSCTCCTCATGGCAAGAGCAGAACTGAAGGCCACAGACAAACAGCATCCTGTCAAAGCTGTGAATGCACACAGCAGAGACCTCACTTACTTTTTCCCGTGGGATGTTGTTGAACCCTCTGTGTCCCAAGATCTGAAGAGAGGAAACCAGGGAGTAGGCTGTGAATCCATAAAAGGAGGTTTTCGTTCCCACGTCTTTTTCATAACCCTTGATGACAGCCCCRCTCACCCTGACCAAGGAAATCAAACAGAGGAGCAGAGTTAGGTGACCACTGAAAGCCCTCACATCCATGTTCCTAACAGGAAAAGACASCTGATAATCTGATTGGCACCTTGGTCTGCAGGAGAGCCCCTGCTGTGGAGATGGCTCTTTGTGGTTCATTTGTGAACACAGGCTCTGGATGTTTAGTAACTTTCCAATTACTTTTGGAGTTTTTATCTCCTGCCATCAGTCATTTTGGCACTTGGGAATGACTGGAATACTAGAAGAGATGAAGTGATCCAGCCACAATAAGCTAGCTGTGCATGTCSTGAGAAGGAAGCCTGCCCTACCTGAAGACGTAGTCATGGGAGTCAATCTCCTGGCCCATCCCAGAGTTATTCAATATTCCTCCATTCCCCACGACAGCACAGCTGATGCATGTGGGCATGCTGCTGTCACGGCTGGCCAGGAGCAGCTGCTGGTGGGGATTTGGGGGCAGCAGGGAGATGACYTCCTTCACCACTGTGAAGCAAACACATTGGAGAGTTATCAAAAACCTTTGGGATGGACACAGTGAAACCACCAGAGTTTCCACCATGAGATCCACCTAGATTGATGCCTTTGACGGCGAGATGCTGCAAACCTCCAGCTACTCAGCATCAAGCTCCTGCTGGGAGTATGAAGGTCCCATCCTGACAGGCCCTGAGGGACTCACGTGAATAGTTCAGGTCCATGAAACCATAGGGGGGTGTAAAATGCTCGAGGCGGTTCCATTCACTGTCACTGAAGTATCTCTTGTCTATGAAGAGTGTGATGTTGGGCAGGAAAAGATCCCGCAGCCAGTCAGACTTGGCAGCTCTGGCCCTCACTGATTCAGAGCAGGTCTTGAAAAACAAAAAGGAAATAATGACTGATGAGCAGAGAGCTGATAAACCTGACTGAGTGCCAGTGCTTGTGTGCCTGTGTATGACAGGACCAGAAAGAAACACAAAAACTCCAGGGGTAGCTCATCCATTCCTTTCAGCATCCCCATAATCAGGAACATGAAGCACAATTCCAGGACTACATCCATCAACAGCTGACAAAAAGTACCTACAAGGGAGCCAGGATAACTCCAGGTCCCTGAGATTTTCCTCTTCAGAACAACAGGCYTATGATGCTTAAGTGTTTTATTGGCTTTGGGCCTCATTAGCTGATGCAAATTAATATCTGTAATAGGTCTAACCTTAGTGTGCCAAATAAAGCTGTAAGCATTAAGAATATGCTCCAATTATATATATATATATATATATGTATATATATATATGCTATAATAAGCAGTCCCTGCTGGCAACACACCTGACAAGATCCTAAGAGTGCACTTGAGGAAACACTGAGGAACATATGAAATCAGATCACCATTGCCACTCCCTTTAAGGGTAAGAAAAAATGTGCAACATCTCGTTCAATGTCATAAATAAATCAGGGAAACGTGCAGCTGAGAAGGGAATTCAAGCCAGCTTATCCTACAAGAAGGGTCTCACTGCAGCTGRCAAGAGTGAGGCTGTGTGTGCAGATGGAAAGCAAACAGCTGCACTACAGTGAATTTTCTACTGAGTCAATTCAGGCTCTACTTTCTTAGACACCTTCCCCAAACACCTACTGAAAGACAAAATAGAATACCAAGTGGACCCAGCTCAAATCCMCAGCAATGGCTGCATTGCCAAAGCYTTCCYSAGTGCTCCTTGGCTGAGCTGGACTCCCTGCAATGGATGAGGATGACAACCCTGTCACAGCCTGAGGACASAGCCCTCATTCTGGCTGTCACCACGGGAGCACAGTGAGAACAGCATTGTGAAGGGTTTCATGGTGGCATCATTTCACTCACAGCACATTTCATGTCCAGAAACAGGGACATTCCCTTCYTGCTCAAGCAGGTACTGTCCAAGGCTTGGTACTTCTTGTGCTTCCACAGCTACATTGGATCAATGACAGAGGAACCAGGTACAAGTGATTACGTAGGAAATTAGGGAGAGGGGAAGTGCTTCTAGTAACTCACTCTCTCTGCAGAATTACAGATCAGGTTTGGGAGTGAGACAAATTGTGAGAGGGTGACCCAYCTGTTCCAAGTCTTCCAGCAATAGGGGTGCCAGGGAAAACTGYTTTGGGTAAGCTTTACAAAGAGTGACCAGCATACGATGGGGGATAGAGACAGTATGGGACACCACAACCTGTCCCATCTGCTTGCTGAGAACTTTGGTGTAGTTTACTACTTTCCTGAAGGCCCTGCTCCTGGATAATTATGAGATGCTCAAATTTACCTAACCTGAGTCTTCATGGGAATGCAGACGTTGTATACAGAGCTCTTCCTGTCCAGGTCCCATCAGCACCTGCATTTACCAGTGAGTGACCTACCAGCTCTGAAATCGTCTTATCTGCAAAGGGCACACACACCCAGGGCCCAGCAGACAAGGAGGTCAATGGGGAGGCACCATTCCTGATGACCACACCTACCGAGGGTGGGGAGGARTTATCCAGCAGATACTCATCCTCAAAATCCCAGTGCGGCTCAGATGTGAAGTTAGCAGAGCTCAGTTTTGTCTTTGGTGTCACTGCAGTAGCCTGAGGGACAGGTCTTACAGTTTTCATTGATGCAGGAGGATCTTTGGGTTTTGCTTGGCCTTTGGATGTGTTCTCATGTCCTTCCTTCACCCCAGAGGATGGTTTCTCTGCTGCCTTCTCCTCACCTCCCTCCTTCCTGGGAAGTGGTTTCACTGTTGTCTTTTCCTTGGCTTCTTCCACCCRTGGAGCTGGTCTTACTGTTGTTTTCCCCTCATTTCCCTGAACTATAGGGGTGGATTTCACTGTTTTCTTATTGATTCCCTCCAACTGGGGTGTTGGTTTCATAGCCATGTTCTCCTTGGCTTCCTTAACCCTGGTAACTGGTTTCATTGTTTCCTTCTGTTCCTCCTTTCCTTTCCACCTTGGTGTCATCTCCACTGCATTTTGTTTGAGTCTTGTGATGTGTCCTCCCAAAGTCACCTTTAAAATATTCCTGGAGTTCCCTTTATCAGAATAGTTTAATCCCTGTTGTTTTTGGGTGTCCACTTGTTGTGTCTCTGGGGCAYGTTGGAAAATGTTCCATTTCCTGAATGCAATCAAAGGAAAAGCAGGCACATTACACACACTTTCCACTTAGCACTGAAACACCCTCCAGCCCATTTCTAGTGCTCTTGWCTCTGAGCCTCTCTCTGTGCTTTAGAGCAATTCCATTTAGAACTTTGCCAAGTTATTCAACTTCCTACACCATTCCAGCCTGAATACTGCTTATCTCCCTACTGAGCAAATCCCAGAGGCTCACACTCCTCTCCTCAGCACTTGGCACATGAAACATTCACACTGGCACTAAGAGCCAGCCAGTAGAGCCCAGCTTTGCCATGCACTGGGCAGGCCCCTGGCAATGTCCCCAGAGCACTGCAGGTTGATTTGGAGATCCTGGGCTCAGGACATGGCACACACTATAGAAGCAGCCATCTGCCTCTCTCCCCTGCCAGCAGAGCCCTGTGCTCCAGCAACAGAGCATGAAGATCTTCCAGAATGCAGCAAGGGAAGTCTAAGAAGAAGAGAAACTCACTCCTTTACCCTTCATCACCTCTTGAGCTTTTGGGGCCACAGGACACTTTTTCCTCTCCTCCTCCCYCTTAGTCAGGTAATGCAAGGGCATGACACAGCACTCACCAGGCACTCGTGTCTGAAGGCAGACACTTTGAAGCCATTAAAATGCAAAATCTCTACATTTTTAGCACTTGYCTSTGATGTTTCAGCTGCCCTGTTGCCYGAATYAGAGGCACAGGCAGGTACAAGGTTATCACAGGAGGACACATCTGCCAACAGCAAAAGAGCCACCTGCAACAAGACTGGGCTGAAACCCAGCAAAAAAAATCAAGGCAGAAGTGGTGCGGTTTTGTCCTAAACATTGCCTTTTCTCTGCACATGGCTGGAGGGTAGAACAGGAAAAAAGGAAGGTGAACAATTTCTGCAGCTGAGCTTTTATGTACAGCAAAGCTTTTCAGGATAAACCAGCATGGCTGTGGCAGTCTGATTCCACACTCGTGTTCAGCCTTTGCATGACGCACTTGTTTCGGAACGCTGTGGATTGCTTCCGAAGTGAAAAATGGGGAAAAAAGCACTTCTGCAGATAACAGGCTGCAGATAGCAGCTCAGTTGCTGCTGAAATTTGATGGATGTCATACCACTCTGAAAGTGTTCAGGAAATTATCAACTACAGAGGCTTTTAAAAACCATTTCGTATCAGATAAATATGTGAACCTTTACAAGGCTAAGAAAGAGAGGTTGTAGCAAATGGCCTATTAGCTCTCCCTCTCTCACAATCATTAGCCAGTTTTAACMAAGTGTGCAGCATGTGCTTTCTATCACAGTGCTTCATGTATAAACTTTTGTTACTGTTTACTGCCCAATAGGATCAAAGATTTTATATGGRCACTCTAAATAAAGAAAAATTTGGTAACGCAGCTCAGGCAGATTTTAAATCCCTTTGTGAATTTCTGTTGTATTTTTAAAATTATGTTTAAACTTTGAAATGAAAKGGCAGGGAACAAATGAAACAGGACAGCATGACAAACCATCCCCCACTCCAGACTTTCTCTGTAGTTTGTCTCGCAGGGCAGATATCACCCCAGTCTATTACACTTTAACTTCAAATGTGCCAGAGACCAAAATGTAAAACCAAGGGTTTTTCACATCCCAGACCTTGCTCCCTGCAGTCAGGTCCCCATGGCCAGGCACTTGTGCTTACACAGGACCCTGTTCTCCTGACCAGCATTTTAAATCCAGACAAATGGTCAAAGCAGCTTGGTGAATTTCAGRCTCTAAAGTCCAGCTGGCAAACAACTGCAGAAGCTCAATGACATTTACTGTCATTTTCCTCCCCTTTTATAAAGACCAAGGATAAACAGAGGATAAAGCCATGAAAATGCTGCTTTGTGTATTCTACGTGACATACAAGGTACAGAAATAGAACTGCTACACAGACAACCACACACAGCTCATACCTTGTTGTGTTTTACTGAAGTTTTAGAAATACAGGCATTTCCATTCTTTGAAAGTGCAGCAGAAGTAAATGGCTTCAAGCAGATGGACATGGAGAGCCACTTTCTTGTCCCAGCTCTGCCACTAATGGGCTCTGGGATCAAGGACAACTCACTTCTCTACACCTCCTTCTCTCCTTTCCTACGACCACCCTTGTGAAGATTCCAACCTATCCAAACTCAAAGCTGTCCTGAAAGTGTGGTCTCAAGCTGCTAGGGCTGAGCTGAACTCAGCTCAGCTCCAGAAGAGATGCAGATGTTGCCAGCCTCACTCCTCCTGCCTGCCCCCACAGCACCAGCCCGAACATCCAGCTGAGAACCAACCCAACCAAGCCACACCACATGAGTTCACTGGTAGAGCTGGGACCAGAGGAGGCTGGGGAATTGGGATTCCTACACACAGCACCAACATATCCATGAGCCACACCTGTACTGGGAAAGGCTCAGGTCTCTGCAGGGCTCACACGAGGAGCAGTACTCCCTGTCAGTGATGCTGGACACATTTCACTGCAATTCCCTCCACACCCATTCCTGTAGGATTTGTTTGACCATTTAAATAAAATATAAATACATCTCATATCTACATGACTTTGGTGTCCCAGTATGCTGCACATTTGCGTTAGGAATCAGCTGCTGAACTTGCTATAAATTCAAAGGCATCCCACCAAATTCACTGTCCAGCAACGCAATCTGGATTAGGGCTTAATAAGGTCCTTCTGGGAGCCAACAKGAAAAGCAAATACTATGTAGTGCCAAAATATGAAAACAGGTAGGATTAGTGAAGCAAAAGCTGCTTTAGACAGTTACAAAAGAAGCTGTGGAAAACAGTGAGCCAAGAGAAGAAGGTTTGGGACTACGGATCTTCCAACACAATGCTCTATTAAAGTGGTTGCCTAACTCAGATCAGAAGTGCGAGCTCCCGGGTAAAAAAGACAGAGAGACAGAGAGAGCACAAGCMCCTAACCAGACAGTGCACGCCATGAAAGAACGGGTCCCTTACCTGAAAATCTTTGTCTTCGCCAAGTCAAACAAGGAGCTGGAATTGAAAATGAAGAGGCAAAACTGTGTTACAACAACGAGGCATATAAGGCCTTTGGCAATTTTCGGGAGCCTTATCCTGGCACAGCGCATGGTAAGACACCTGTGAGTGTCAGAGGCRCTGCTGCTGCTGCCCTGGGGCGCTCGCCAGGCACTGCCTCACCAAGGTGTGTGCAAGGACTGGGCTGGTCTTCCCTCTGGATTTCCCTATAAAACGTGCACACCCTGTCTCCCAGCATTCCCAGACACTCTGCACACAGATCCAATTTCTCAGGCAAGCCATCATTTTGTACTGTCCCTGCCTATCACCAGAAGCTTATTTAACAAAGAGCAGGGAAAGGAATTATTTTTACTGCAAACAATGGAAGTTTCCTGTATTTTCCTTAATGACGTTGGTCTGTCCTAAAAAAGGAAAGTTTTTATCTCTAATCTGGTGGAAGCATCACTGGGAGTGCATGTGAATTACAGAAGTGGCCATACTTAAAATCCACAAAGTTTTAAGACCACCACCTACCCAAGRTTTTAAATATAACCATAAACATATATTCTTCATGCAGTAATTGTTTGCAGCTCCAATCTAGAAACAATCCCTGCCCCGCAAAAGCTGATGGCTTGMTACACATCCATTTTACCTTGTGGTTGCTTTGAAACAAATCAAAGTAAGAGTCAGTGCAAATCCACCACAAAAAAAAGGAGTTTGTGTTATGAAGAACCCCAGTCAGTGTGAAATCAATCTTTGGCAGTCCAGAGTAATCACCCCACTGGCAGAGGGAAAGATTTGCAGAGGTGGACACCACAGCCAGAGAAATGTTTATCTCTACCAGAGATGTAGTTTTACAGCAAAGGGCTGCTTTAACTTTTTAAGTTGTTAAATACTAAACCTGGCAGGTCAAGGGGAGATTGCCATATTGCTTCTTATGCATAGGCTGCTTTTGCACAGCTCTTCTAAAAAAACGAAACTCAGACACAAATAAAGCTTTTGCTGACAGTATCTCAAATCTCAGAGGCACTCACACTGTTACTGAATACCCAGAGAACTGAAGGTGCCTGTTTTATGTCACAGGAAAGCCAGTCAACAGGTTTCACAACTACAGGACTTTTTTTGTTAATAGGCTCCCAAAGGGAAATTCTGGGGGCAGGAAACATTTTCCTTCAACCTCCTCCATGTAATATTACTGCAAAACCAAGAGCCACAAGGGATAGCAAAATTCCTACAATCAGAAAAATATGGATTTCTTTGCTTTTAAGGACCTGCACTGATGATTGTGGAGAACTCRTCCATAGCACTCTCTGTTCAGGAAGGATTGTGTTTGGGGAAATATCCAAATCTCTGGCAAGCACATTAGCAAAAAGCAGGCTTGCCATGCAAAACACAGCTTTTCACCTTCTTCATGGAAGAAAAGAAAACCTAAACTCCCCTGTCAGCATACTGACTTTCAGTTCCTCAGAGCATCATTTCATCATCATCCACCCCCACTGCTGAGATCAATGTGTCAGAACTGAGGCACTAGGCTGGTGTGCTCAAACATGCCTCCCCAAACATGAGGTCAGATTGGGAAATGGGGATGTAGTAGAACTCTTCAGGGATGATCTGGTGAAAACTGAGGCCAAGAGCAGAGCTGGTCCCTTACAAAGCTCTGTAAGAAGTAGGATTCATGGGATACACAGGGTTCCCAGCCCACAGGCAGGAAGATACAAAGCAAAGGCTGCACACAGCACAGGGTCTGGCTGCTCAAGGGCCACAGCATCCTTTTCCAAATGCATGTTTCCCTGCAGTCCTACCTGCAATCCCATGAAATGCTGCTTCTTTTATGGTGTAGAGACTCYGAGCCCAGCACTGCTGGTGTGTCCAGCTACCAACATCAACGCCCACAGCAGAAGATCTTCTGTCCTTCAGTACTGTAAAAACAAGATGACTTCTTTATTTAAGCAAACTGCATCTGTGATCATCAAAGAATGATGAAGAATGTTATCTGTCAGCCCTTTTTGATCTCCAACAGTCCATTTAATTCCACATCTGCTCAATAACATCCTTAATTACATCCTGGACATATAAAAGGCAGAACTGCCTGTTTTGGTTTTCCTTTTAATTCATTAACAAACTTGATTGCCATGAAATTTTACATTGTGTGTGTTAAGGGTGTCACTGGCATTTTGAACTATGCCATGAACTTATCTTTGTGCACGTTCTTCACAGGGCTGGGTATCAAATCTTGTTTACTTTCCTGTGCCCTGTGTGCTTTCCACTCTCCCATATCTCTRGTTTACAGAACTGAACATCACAAGATATGCTCGAAGAACAGAACTGTTCTACAAATTGATCCTGCTTTGCTGCAGGATAAACTTGTCTTTCAGTGATGGCTACAACCTACCAAAACCAGTATTTGACTGGAAGCCAGTGAAATAAAGCTGCTAAAGAAGCTGGGGGTGTTTGGACATGCTCACAGTGTTATTTGATAATGTAAGAACTGAGTTATAAGTGGAGGAGAAAAAGAATGACATTGTCTGCAGCATGCAACTGCTTAATGGTCATGCCTGCGGGCTAGCAAAGGCTGGGTTTGGCACCCTTAGGTTCTTATTTTCCCCTCCTTGTTCAGCAGTCATCTTCAGAAGCAAATGCTTTCAGGCTGGGAATCTGTRGGGGATAGAAATTACAAGAGCAAACTCTACACAGCTGTTTAAAGTCTTGCTGTCACCAAATAAAACTGATAGCCCAGAAACTCCCAAGCTTGCCATAATTCCATACTCACTGGCCATTTTCCAGCTATTCCCTTCCCTTTTGCATCAAACCTTCTCTCAAAAACTGAACAAGCACCCAGAGACAACAGCATTTGTTGAGGCAAAGCCCCCACATCTTCCAYATTGGCACTTTCAAGAATACCCAGAGTTCTGCCACAGAGCAAAGCTMCAGAAAACGGTGCTAGGAGTGAGGGAACAGCTTAGTGAGCCAACTGGTCTGTGGTCTCCATGGGCTGAAATGCTCTCAGAGGAAACACACAGTGGTTTTGATGGTGGAATGAGCAAGTGGCTGCTCAATGTTCACACAGCAGAGCTGCAGAGATTGCAAATCTTGTCAGGTTTTCATTAGTGCTGATCTGAATGCTTGGTGTCCAGCCCCACCCAGCTCATGCCCCACTAAAGAATCYGCCTTGGATCAGTGTTTTGACAGCAGATGACAGGGGTCCAACCTAGAATATTTCCCCCTCTCCCACATGGGACCATGGGCAGRTTCTTTCAGCCAGTCCACACACCATGAAATGTCCTTGCCTGGAGCAGTCACTGGGAGATGGGGTGTAAATGCTCTGAATCCRGCCCTATTACAGCCTCTGGTCGCTGAAACTTGTTCTTTCTGTAGGCACAGTGAGGACTCAGCTATTGAGCTGTTCCCTCTGGCCACAGCTCTGGGTGTTAATTAACCTCTCTGAACAGCGGAGCAGACCAAGTCTGCCATCACACAGCCTTTCTGCTCCTCGAGCTCTTCACATTCACCCCATCCCACTGAAATGCTCTGCTCCCAGCATTCCTTCCTCTGCCACACAATGCTGAGAAGACTGATGAGCCTCTTCATTTGAGAGAATTTCAAAACCCACAGAAAAATACACTCCCAATAACAATGGCTGGAAACGTCAGCTGGAGTTACAGAGGCTGGAAAGAACCAGGGATCTTTTCTCCAAATGCCTCCCTCAGCAGCCTTTTGTCTGTGCCATCCCAGCAGGAAGCCTAGCACATCACCCCAAAGCTGACAGACAGAGACAAACTGACACCACTTCAGGGCTAAGATGGGTTGTGGAGTTTTTTTTCCCCTTTTAAAAACTGAAAGGAAGAAAAAAAAATGTTCCTTGACTGGGAATCTCTTGAGAGAGCTGGTCCCGCAAGGAGCAGGGCAGCACTGCAGACAGGTGAAGAGGTAATTTATTAAACTCATGGCTAGTTGGCCTCCCATCCGAAAAGCAGCCTTTCCAGCTCCTGTCCCAGACAGCTGCCAGGAACAGGAGCATTCCAGGACCCTCCACTGCTCCAGAGAAAGAAATACAAGAATCACAAAACCCAAATTCCTCTCTGTACCTCTGGCAAAGAAAAATGCAGGCATATTGTCTCAGCATGTCACATCTGACAGCAAAATTCAGCCCCTGCACAGGTATTAATTACAGAATCACATATCTGTGGGCATTCACTAATTTTAGAGCCAGAAGAGAAATATTTCTTGGTAAAGGTCTTTCCCATACTCTTCCCACTGGCTTAACATCAGAAACCATCCCTCTTGACATCTCTGGCAGGACAAATGTGCCATTTGGCATCCTTTGGGGTGAAAAGTGCTGCAGGGAATGCAAGACGTAAGCCTGCTTCTTGAGGGGGATAAATCGTCTTGTTCATGTCTTACACTYGGGAAAATGAGGCCTCGTAGTTCTTTTCTCTCTGTTCCTCACTGACAGGACCATCAGAGAAGTGCAGTCACATTTTTAGCTGTGAGATTAGGAGAGTCACAGGGTCCTGTGAGGAGCTGCTGGAAATCAGATGCATCTCCTCCCTTCTCTTCCTTTTGTGTATTGTCTTCTCTGTAAGAGTTCCTCTCCTGCTTTATTTAGATAAATACCTGGTGCTACCTATTTCCACCCTCCTCCTGTTAATTTGACAGAGGCTTTTGTCAGCCACAGAGAAAAGTGAAATTTTTGCCACACCAGATGCACACCACCTATCAACCTCATACTCTGAAATCCCCAGGCAAAATAACTGCTGAGCAGGAGAGCAGCACTGTGCTATTGCARTGGAGATGTGAGATCCTTGTGTTTAGGAAGGACCACACATTCTCTCCTGATTCCCTGGGTGCTCTTTAGCATCTGTTCAATCTGGGTTTTTCTCAAAGATTCCAGGAAGGACACCTCTGTTGCAGTCTCAGCCAGAGCCAAGAGGAGGAGCCAGAATGTTTCTACTAACAATGTGCAATGACACTGATCATCTCCTCTGTGAGTTGCGCTTCCAGAAGATGTGCCACGGAGATGGAGACATCAGGCAGGACACACTGAGTGTGTTTGTTCCTAGCTCGGCAGCTTGCACCTCAAGACTCATGTCCCCATTAGCAGTTACCAAATGAGAATGATCAGGCCTACAACGGAAATGGTCTAAACTGTGTTGTTTACACACTATGTCGAATTTGGGTGCTGTCCA